TCCCTTCCCTCCCCTGCTGTGTCCCGCAGATTCCCCAGTGACCTAACCGAGGAGAGCGGCTGGAGGATCTGGTGAGCCTCGGGGGATGAGCCAAGGTTACCTTTTTCTTGAATCAAACTGCACACTGCCGGCTGGCTGCCAGGCTCCTGCCGCCCTGCCCTGATCTCTCCCTTTGACCAGACCACACTGGACTGAACCCGAGGAGATCATCTCGCTTTCTTACTAACCACCGACGGTTTACGCTTCCCCCCTCCCTGCCCCCAGCCCACCGATTCTTCTTTTATTTATTTTATTAGCTGTTAGGTTTATTTTTTTATTTTATTTTTTTATCTTGTTTTGGGGGCTACCCATTCTTTTTGTTGTTTGCTCTTTCCCGAGCTAGTAGACATATTTTATGAATTGGCTTTGTGATTGTGTTAGGTAGCTTTTATTGAGGAGTATTTTTATTTGGCTTTGAAACTGTTTTGAATATTTTCAACTCTGTTGTTGTTGTCGTCAGTGTTTTTAAAGCACGGTATGTAATGAGAATGCAGTTCTGAAGGGAAGAAAGAGACACAAAGAGAGCAAAGGCTGAGAGGAACTGATGTATTTCTATTTTTTTTAAAAGAAACTGTTTTTAATTGTTTCTGTTTTGTAAATGTGAGGCTTTGAAAAGTGTGAAACTCCAAGGATCTGAAAACGTTGGACATCGCTATGGAACAAAACAAATGTATATTTTGCTAAGTGAAAAACACTATCCTTACAGCTGAAAGGATTTTTTTTTTTCCTAGGTTTAGTTTTACGTGGGGTTTTCTTTTTCCTCCTGTATAATATGTAAATATCGTGAGCTGAGCCTGGCTGCCGCCTGCAGCCTGGCTTCAAGGAGCAGCTCCAGGTCCTGGACTTGGTGCCGCAGTGTGAGCAATACTCTCCAGCAGAATCCTGACAGGACTCCGTTCTTTTTTTGTACACCTTTTACTGTAAGATTTTAAGACCTCTGATGAGCTGAAAGGGGGGGTGGGGGCGGGGGTGAAACGTACCGGCCAGCGGCTGTTTTGCTGAGCGGGTTAAAGCTGCTGCCTGTTGCTCGATGTACAGACTCCATCACCGGGCTCCGGAGCGCCGGCCCCTGGTTTGGCTTTAGGTAAAGGGCTTGTCTTCCCCGCCACTGCTTGTCTTGGTTACTCTGAAAGGAATTCACTCTCCAAACACTATCGCTTGCGTCAAGATTTCCTGGGAAAGGGGATGCTCCTCCGGAGGCGAGGGTATCGGAAGGGGTGTTGTTCAGGGCCAGGGGGGAGATTTGGGTGGTGGTTCTCTGAAGGGCAGGGCACTGGGTTGGGGAGTCATTAACGAGGGAGAAAAGCATTAGGGGGGTGATTTGGGGGCAGGTTAAGGGCTTCTCAGGGATTATATGAATTATAGAATTGCAGCTTCCCGTTTGCTTTACTCTGTGTTCTGAAGGCTGTGGGAATTTGGCCGTTGTCCTGTGTGGGGGTGGTCTGGTCCCTTCTCCAGAACCTGCCGAGGCTTCCCCTGGAGCGCTCCAGGCCCCTGCTAACAAACCCCGGCCAGGGGAAGCCTGTGGCAGGACTACACGGGGCAGGGTTGGGGCTGGATTTCAGTGAACCAAAGACCTTGTTAAGGGGGGTGATTAAGCCTTTTATTAAGATGCAGCCAAACTCTTTTCCCAGGGAAATAACAGCTTCATCTTAAGTTTTAAAAATCATTCCCTCTCTTCCCCCAAACTGAGCCCCTATAAGGGAGAAGGGCGTTTAGGAAAGGACTGAGGGGGCCACAGTGCCCACAGGGCCCTTCTCTTCCATCCCTCCCCCCTCTGCCGAGCTTGTCCTGACCTGGGCGATGTGTTTGGAGAGTTCTGTTTAGGTAAGAGGGTACTTAACAGATCAGTACTGAAAACACAAAGCAATAATTTTTGTTACTGAGACAAGAGTCTGTATGTCTGTTTTTTTAAATATTTCCTAATTAAAGAAGAGCTGCATTTTATTGGGTTTATTTTTATTCTATATACTTCAGATTTGGGTCTGCGGACAGCGCTTTCCTCCCTCTTGGTACATGCGCTGAACTGCTTCCGTGCCCCCTCCAGACATCCAAGGCCAGCTGTGCTGCTGCTGGGCCGTGGTTCACTCTCTGGCCAGTGCTGCCACTGCCTGGAGGCTGGGGCTCCGGTTTCAGGGTGGGCATTTTTTTAAAAAAAGAAATAAAGCTGTGTTTTTAAGCCAGTAAGTTATTACACTCCAATGTTTGTGCTCTCCACACCTGTAACCCTTTTTCCAGATTTCAGTTTTAAATTCCTAATAAATTATTTGAAAACTGTCCTTTCCTGTCTTTATTTGTGAGTGGGAGATTTTTCACATGGAGAAGCTTTCAGGTGAACTTGGACCTGGCAGGAGTCACATCCTGCCATTAGGATAAAAGCCCCAGGCAGGGCTCTGACTCTGTTCTGCTCCCAGACTTTGGCAGTGGCCCAGTTTATAATGTGAGGCAGATCTGTTTTTAATAGAGATGGTGTCTCTTCTCTATGTTACAGAGGTTTTGTATAGGTTTTGTAGGCTCAGGAGAGGAAGAGGTGGTGTGGTGCTTAGGAGTTTGGCTCAGATGCTCTGGATTCGGTGACTGTGGTGGACTGAGGAGGTTGGATCTAAGAAAGTAAAATGCAGAGATGGGAGGAGAAGAAAAGTCCTTGACAGACAACACTACAGGAGAAAGGTGAAGTCTAAGAGAGTGAAATAGTAGGGAACATTGTGCAGCAGGTCTTAATTATAGAGAATTCTTAAAAATTAATTAAGGCTTAAGCCTGTAAGTTTAGGAACCAGTTGGGATGTCCTCACAAGGACATGGAGAACCAGTGACTTTGTACGTGGCACAGGTTGGGGAAACCCAGAAATAGCATTCATGGAAAAATCTTGATCCTGCTGGGATTTTTCTCATGAGGCACTGCTGTGACACTCACATGCTCGTTTTCCCACACTTGGTGATTCCCTTGTTCAATTAAAATGTATGAAATCCAAGAGCTGACAGTACTTTTGATTGGTTATTTTTTTAAAAAACAGTTTATTGGAAGTTTTCTTGACAACATCAATAATAAATCAGACATTGAGAAGTGAGGAAGAAGGAACCGCTGTGTCTTAAGGTTCATAGGTAAAAGAAGAGATAATTAAGAGTAAAGGTGGCCAAAGTAGCAAAGAAGAAAGAGAACAGTGAAGTGGGTACTGAAGGGAAAGTCAGCAGATTGCTCTGTGGGCAAGAGATTAAATCCTTTTTTCTGAACTAACTGCAGTACAGACTGTCCTTTACGTCAGGCTTTAATGTTTGTTCAGTGTTCTCACTATGAGGACATGAGAATCTTGAATCTGTAACTCAGCATCTGTTTGGCTTTAGCTAACCCATGAGTGGGGAATCACAGAGAATCAGAGAGCTTGTGAGAGACCAAAAAAAGTCAGCATGGTTCTGGTTGTTCATCAGCATGTCTGCCTTTAACTGGACATCCTATGGATATGTCAACATCCTATGGATACTATGGGCACCCTGGCATAGTTTCAGCTGCTATTAGGGGGAAGATGTCCTCATGTCCCTTAAAGAAACTTGCATTTGAACCTCCTGAAGGGTGCTGAGCCCTAAGCTTCCTGAAGAAGCACTCGGGTATATTAGGCTGTTGCAGAAAGGTGGGCTTTGCCTCTTCCTCTGCTCTTAAAAGCCAAAGGCTTGCTAGGGGCTTTAGAAATGAGTGCAGGCTCTCAGTGTCAGGTGAGCAGTCTAGGATCTGTATCTGGAGTGTGTAGAAATGCCAAACCTATGGCTCTGGCAGCGTTGGATCCTCTGGGCTCTGAATACGAGTGCACTATGTTGGACTAACCCAGGCTGACTCCAGGAAGCTCTGTCTTACCCATTATTTCAAGGTTCCCAACTCACCTCATGCCTTGTCATAGAGAACCAAAGGGCCTAACTGAGTTCTGCTTTGGCACTGGAGAAAGACAAACTGGTGTCTCTGAGCTACTGAAGTCTGCTGTGTGTGTTGAAACTTCCAAGCCCAGTTCATTCCAGTGTAACCCCCTTAAGGTCATGTAGAAACAGACACTATTCCTTGTTTAAGCCAGATACAGAGGCTTTCCAAATTGCTCGGCTCCTGTTTCTTGCCTAGCAGCACCTTCTTCTCCTGGATGGTTTCAAAGTGAAAAACAGCTTGAATTTTGTCAGTTCAGGTCATGCCAAATGGCCATTTGGGGAGAGTGAACGACCTGTACCTTATTCTATGGATTAGGCCTGGAGAATCCTTGGAGAGATACAGGAAAGCTGGGGAGGGACTTTTTACAAGGGCAGTTAGTGACAGAACAAGGGGAAATGGGTTTAAGCTGAAAGAGGGGAGGTTTAGATGAGATATTGGGAAGAAGTTCTTCACTGTGAGGGTGGTGAGACAGTGTCCCAGGTTGGCCAGAGAAGCTGTGGCTGCTCCTCCCTGGAAGTGTTGAAGGCCAGGTTGGATGAGGCTTTGAGCAACCTGGTCTAGTGGAAGGTGTCCCTGCTGCTGGCAGGGGGGTTGGGACTGGATGAGCTTTAAGGTCCCTTCCAACCCAAACCAGTCTGGGATTCTATGATTAATGATAAGTGGGATTCCATAAAAAGAGGATGCCAGTATTAGTGGGATGGATATTAGTGTGCCACCAATTTCCAATGTAACTACCACACTGCTACTATATTTTAGCAGTGAGCACTTAAAAATGTCCAGATCTTTCAGGCTGGCTTCTAATAGTAGCATTAAAAGAATTTAATATCAAAAATCTAGAGAGTAAATATTTGCCTTCCTGGCTTTCAGAGATTTAGCTCCACTGGCCTTCAACTGGTCATGTTACAATCTGCTGGCCACAGCCCCTGATGGAAGAAATCTGCATTTAGTAACGTAAATAACTGGCTTGTTTATCTCATACCCACGTCAAGGTGAGCTTGTCTTATAAAGAGCCGCGTTTTCTTTAGCATGAGTCTCTCTGTCAAGTCCTCCAAGAATGAAGTCCCTGGCGCTGCTTCTCCTGCTCGCTGGTGAGTAGGTGGCACTCGGGGCCCCCAGCACCCCCAGACTGGTAACGCTATGCCTAACTCTAACCTTTGTGTCTCTTCTCAGTGGGTGCAGCCAGCAATGCTGTCTCACCCCGGGCTGTGTGGGAGCTTCGCAGCATGATCAAATGCACCATCCCCGACAGCCATCCTCTGCTGCAATTTGGAGACTACGGCTGCTACTGCGGCCTGGGAGGCCACGGGACTCCAGTGGATGAGCTTGACAGGTCTGCCAAACTCTGTTTTTACAAACTCCTTCCCTTGCTTGTGCTTTCACAGTTCTGCACTCCAGCTTCCTCGCAGCTGGCCCTGCCTATAAATGTTCACAAATCTCTCCGGCTGCTGTGAATGAAGCTTTCTCTCAAAGGCTGATTCAAGATAAAAAGGATGTGTAGTATCACACCTTGATGCCTTATTACTAAGATACAACACAATCCCAACAACTCTGTTGGCTCCTCTGTGGCAGCTGCACTGCACTCCTTCCAGCCTTTTTTTTGCAGCAGTGCTGTGGCAGCAGCCGGGACGCAGCTCTGCGCACGCTGCCCCGCTGCGCGACCATCAACACGTGCAGGGCTGAGCTGCAAGATGCTGAGAAGTGGCTCGGGCAGTTTAGAGATCACACAAGTCTGGTAGCCAAGACACAGTGAATTGTATCAGTTGTGAGCTCGTCAGCTGCTGGGGGTGGGTGCGTAGGGTAAATGTTGGCTTTTGCTTTCTCTGTGCCCAATGGACAACTCTGTGAAGATGCTCCAGTAAGTACACGGATCCCAAAGAGCTCTTGGACCATTAGCTGGTGGAACTGCTAATGCTGGTGCCTTCCATGTCCCTCCTGTCTGCCTTCTTATCACTGTGTATCTTTTTTATTTTTTTTTAATTTTTTTTTCAGTGCCTTGTCAAAGCAATACTCGTGTATTTACGTGCTTAAACTTCAGAAGAAACTTCTTTACAGTGAGGGTGCCAGAGCCCTGGGACAGGCTGCCCAGGGAGGGTGTGGAGTCTCCTTCTCTGGAGACGTTCAAAACCTGCCTGGACGCCTTCCTGTGTGATCTCATTTAGCTCTTGCAGGGGGATTGGACTTAGAGGATCTTTTGAGGTCCCTTCCAATCCCAACATTCTATGATTCTGTGATTCTGTGTCTTACAGGTCAGCTGAGTTTGCATTTCTGGTATTTTCTGACCTTTTCCTCCTTGTTTCCCAGGTGCTGTCAAGCGCATGATAAGTGCTATGAGGAGGCAAAGAAACTAGAATCATGCAAGTTCCTCTGGGACAGCCCCTACACAGAGCGGTACCGCTTCACCTGCTCCAACGAGGAGATTACGTGTGACAGTACGTCCCCTTCGTGTCACTCCACTTCCCACATTACCCCAGTCTCTTCTGAAGGAGTGGGGCCATGTTACGCTGGATGCCTCTGTGGCAGGAAGGCACCGTACAAGTCCCTGCCTGGGGGCTGGGTGTTAGAAACGGGGCACCTCACCCAGGCACTGGGGTGGATATTCTCCATATAGCACAGAATGTAAAGTTCATGGCAGATAAATGGTATCTCAGTACGTAGGGAAGCCTGTCCCCTCTTCAGGCATCGCGCCCCTGTGGTACTCTCCTGGGAGTCCCTTTCCTGGCAGTGTGTAGGAGAGCAGCAGGCTGACCGGGACGCGTCACACAGCTTCTGCTGGACATCTCCAGGGTAATGGTGGAGCTTCCATAGGGCTCTCAGACGGAGATGAACAGCAGGCAGGCTGGCAAAGGGAAGGAGGGAGTGCAGGGACTGCTGGGCTGGAGCACACAGCCCTGGGGCCAGAGGGTTAGTGGGGAGCAGCACGTGCACCC